AAACTAGCTGCAACGACATTTGCCAAAGCAGAAAAGGAGGAAGATACTGAAACTATGGAAAAGGTATAAAATATATAATTTATATAATAATAATAAAATTTATTATTTTTATCGTGTATTCTCGCAACAAGTAAAGTATGCACCATGCAATTAATGATATTTTAAGAATAAACATATTTGTATAAAATTAAAATAAAATTTCTAGTTCTAATATTAGTTCTAATATTAGCTTTTACTTTACAGATTTACGGATTGAAAGACAAAATAGCAGCCTTTGTTTGTAGTGGCGACTTGGAAGTTCAAGAAAGATCAAGTTCTGCATTAGTACTATTAGAATGTTTAAAAGAAAATCCTGGTCTTGCGCAAGAATTAATCAAGACATTTGAAGGTGAACTTAATCCAGTTGCACCAAAGGCTCAAAGAAAAGTAAATATCAATCAGTAGTATTGTATACATGTATATCATTTACTTAAAAATATTTTTTATTTTGATATAAATTGTAAAAAAATATAAAATGTCATATTAGTTGATATATATGTGCTGCAGATTATTTACATATTTTATCGTAAACATTTCATGATATCTTCCAGGTTCCAATACCTGAGAATTTAGACTTGGATTCCTGGATAAATGATCCACCTTCGGAGAGCTCGGATTCAGAGGATTTAGACATGAATGATATTTTCATTAAGACAGATAAACCGAATAATTCGTTTTCCAAACGGGATTCGAATGAACCATCTTTGGAAGAACTCGAGAGAAGACGTGAAGCAAGAAAACTAGAACAAGAAAATAATCCTCATTATCTAAAAGGCTCATTTAAGACTCCTACATCATATCACAATTCATCGAACGCATATGAAGATTTTGAAAACATTCCTGTCGCGGAATTAGACATCCCAATCTCTTTAAAAATTTCTAACTCTCACAGATGTCGCGATATAAATAGCAGTCACAAAAGACATAAAAAGCATGAAAAGAAGAAGAAATCGAAGAAAAATAAAAGTAATTATTATGCATATAAATCGTATATTATATCAAATATGTTGCAAAAACTTTGAAATTCTTAACATTGAATGTTTTCAGATAAAAGATCTGCATCGGAGGAGGAAGATGAAAAGGATGATAGTTTACCACCACAAATAGTAAATACTGGAATTGGAGAATTACCTCCGGGTGCAGAAATAAGTGATAGTGATGAATACGATTTAGTAGATTCAAATGATCCACATAGAGCTTTAAATATCGATTTGGATATGCCTTTACGAGAAGATGAACGATTGCCTGTGTTAGAACATAGAGTTACTGAAAATAAAATAACGAAGAAACTTGAAGAAAAAGAAAATAAAAAGGAAAAGGTAAATTTCTTTTTGTACAATATTAATAAATATAATATAATTTGAATTTATTTACATATTTTTAAAAATAATATAATTTATGCATTCTAAATTGATAGGGACATAGAAAGTCTAAAAAAAAAGTTAAGAATGTCATGGAAAACGAAGTGATGAACGAAAAGGAGCCTAACTTGTGGTTAGAAACTAATTCGTCTCCGGAGAAAATGCAATCTTCTACTGTAGGAGAATACATAGAGGTATCCAACGAATCACAAAAAGATAGCAAACGCAAGAAGTCGAAGAGTCAAAACAAACACAAAAAATCCAATGACGAAGATGCAAAGCATAAAAAATCGAAGAAATCAAAAAATAAGAAGGAGAATAAATCATTAGATTATGAGGAAACTGCTGGAATATCTACTCCGTCAAAAGAAATATTACCAGAGATAAAGGACGATATTATGAATATCGAATATAACACAATTACTGAAAAAATACAGCAAGATATTTCTTACGAAGAATTAGTCAAAAATAAGGTCCTTTCCATGAGGTATGAGCTGAGACAGATCCCTGACGACTCAAGTAAAGTTATCGTATCAATTTGCATTACAAATATAGGTCAGCCACTAGTAAAAGAATTAGTCTTCGATGTTCCAGACACATCGTCACTCAAATTAGTTAGGAATGTAAGTTAATGTACATTTGAATATTTGGAATTTGTGCTTTAATTCACAAAAATAATTTTGTAATGTGTCATTTCATGTTCTTTTAGCCTGGAGATGAATTTGGAATAAAACTGCCGTTCCAACTGCCTCTGCAATCTAGTAAAGAAACTGAGTTCACTGTTCTAGTCTCGGACGTGACGTTTGCTCAGAGACTTAGGGGTACATTGACGTATATGTTTGAAAGTAAAGAAGGAACGCAACAAGAAAAGCTCGATTTCACTGTGCCCTTGTCATGTAGCAAGTTTATGGTCGGGCATCTCTCTCACAAGGATATACTCACGGAACTTCTCAAAAGTGGTCAATTAGTATCTAAAATTAAAAGAGAAGTAATGCCTTCTCAGGACTTTGACACGGTCCTAAATATTATTTGCCGCAAATGTAATCTCACACTCGTGGAGCAAATTGATGATACTGCATCTTTATACGGTCATTCTCTGAAGGGACATCATGTGTGCCTTTTGTTAAAATATAATGTAAGCTAAATTATCGCTCTGCTCTATAATAAATAATTTTTTGATCACCAAAGTTAAAATATTAATTAACATAACATAATATAATAAAAATATATACTTCAATATCCCGTAATAAGTATTACGTTTGCGTTGATTTAGTTGAAATTTGTATGAAAATGTTAACTTTCTAACATTAGCAATGTATATTATTTCATGGCTTTTTGTTACAGAGAGCGACGGAAAATCTAGTAATCGAAGGTAAAGGTGACAATAACTCATTACTATCGGGAATTGGAGAGGAGATCTTCAGGCTCTTGACATAATACTGATCAAGTGTCTATGTTTTGCAATTATTAATTCCTATCATGCATCGCAGTTATATTGAACTTACACTGGGCAGAGGAACACTTCGATTGTGTCCACTATACATAAAATATAGATATGTAGCGACTATAGCGTATCTGCAAACCGCGCGATTAAATATTTTCGGAAAAGATCTTACCTAAACTACACGTGTAATCTAGATCATAAATTTGTTAAATAGTTAAGAAGTACACACACACACACACATACACACACACACACACACATATTATACTATGCATAAAAAAATACACATATGCATAACACACAATACAAACACACATATGTACATTTCTATATATGTGAAGCGCGAAGTTTCGTAAAGATACTGTGAGAAAAGGGAGAAGGAGATAAATTATTGCCAAGAATTGAAGACACTGAAGTAAAAGTAGATTGATGT